AGTAGTAGTGATGGTAGTCGTAGTAGTAGTAGTGGTAGTAGTCGTGGTAGTAGCAGTAATAGGACTAGTAGTAGTAATAGAAGTTGTAGTCGTAGATGATGCGGTAGTAGTAGAAATAGTAGTACTAGTAGTAGTAGTAGTAGTAGTAGTAGTAGTAGTAGTAGTAGTAGTATTATTATTAGTAGTAGTAGTAGTAGTAGTAATAGTAGTAGTAGTAGTAGTAGTAGTAGTAGTAGTAGTAGTAGTAGTAGTAGTAGTAGTAGTAGTAGAAGTAGATGTCTTTGCGGAGCCTCTTGGAGACCTTTTGGGGCCTCTTGGGGGCCTCTTGGCGGCCCCAGGGGCTTCGAGAAGCGTCTTGGGTGCCTTGGGGGAGCCTCTTCGGGCTTCTTGGGAGCCTCTTGGAGGCCGTTTGGGGCGTCTTGGGGGCCTCTCGGCGGCCCCAGGGGCTTCCAGGAGCGTCTTGGGTGCCTCGGGGGAGCCTCTTGGGGCCTCTTGGGAGCCTCTTGGGGGCCTCTTGGGGGCCTCTTGGAGGCCTCTTGGGGCCTCTTGGGGCTCTGTGGGAGGGGTCTGGGAGGTATCTTGGGGCCATCTTTCGGGCGATCGATCACAGATGGGGCGGTTTTTTTCTCCCCCCCCCCGTCGGGGCCAGAATCCTCGTGAGGGGTGTCGTTTTTTTAGCCCTCCCAGGAGTCGAAAAAGACCCCTCCAACCACCCGCGTAAGGACCTCTCCAGGTCCAGGGGGAGGGGGTAGGGGGAGGGGTAAACCCCTCCCCGAAGGGGAAGAAGGGGGTTGAGAACAGAGCGGGCTCTCTAAACCACTCACGCCCAAAGGGCTGGTGGGATTTACGCAAAGATCCCGTTTGAATGTCCCGCCCGCCCGACCCGCCCGTCAGGGTCCGCCCGCCCGACCGGCGCTCCCGCCTAAGACGTCCGACAATGTACTCGGGACCCCCGCTCCCGCCCAACTCTTCCTTGAGGAATACGCCCTCGCCTAGGACTTCCTCGAAAGTTCATACTCTTACCCTCCTGCCCCTTCCTCCCCATCCAACCTCCCTCCTCCCTCCCCTCTCCCTCATATCCACCCTCCTCCTCCCTCTTCCTCTCTCCACTCACCCTCCTCCCATAACCCTCCTCCCTCCTCTCTTCGCCCTCCCCTGTCCAGCCTCCTCCTTCCTCCCTCCTCTGTCTTTCTATCTCCAATCGTCCCCCCCCCCCTCCTCGCCCCCTCTTTCTACTGGCGTGTTCCCCTTTGGCCTCGCCCCTGCCCCTCCCTTCCTCCCACTCTCCCTCGTTCTCCCCCTTCCTCTTCTTGCAGGGTCCGCGCTAATTCCAATGGTGGGCAAAGAGATGCGTGCCCATCCTCCGAATAATTCCCCGCCCGTTCACGCCCGCTTGTCCAAGCCCGCCCGCCCCCGCAAAAAGAAAAAATCCCCCCCCAGAAGGGGGTACGCTCGAAGACGAAGGGGGCGGGTATCGAGGGCGTGGGTATACACGTTGCATGGCACGCGGGCAAGTAAGAGCGAACAGTCTTAAAATGATTGTTGTTGTTGTTGAACATTATTACTTCTAAATAATAATTATTGTTGGGACCCCTGGTGCACGACCCCCCCGCCGCGCCTAGGCCGCAGCCTCATTTTTATCATTTTCGTGAGGAAGTCAGGCAAAACGGGTTGGTCCGGATCCGGTTGTGTTGTTACGATCGGTTTTCCCTTGCAAAAAATAAGCTGAAGTGGACATTTCTTGTTCTAACATAACCAAACTTCAAGAATCCCTTGCAAAAAATAAGGTAAAGTGGACATTCGCGCGCGCAAGACGAAATCCTTCCAAAACCTTAGTTTTCGTAGCGATTTTAACATAAAAACATCAAAAAACCAATGGTTTTTCAAAAAAAAATTGTCAAAATTTCATCCCGCGCGCTCTTGCGGATTCGTAGGAAACCCAACACTTTTTAAACATTTCTGTCAAACGGGCTTTTGCGAGCAACTTTTTCGAACTTCTGCAACAACGGTTGCGCACCTGCCAGGGCCATCATCCCTGTCAAATAATACCATGCGGGACACATTCGTTTTTTCTTCGCGCGCGCACGCCGTCGTCGTCGGCCGCGGGGCCCTGAATAGTAGCCACGGTCGTCCGCATGCCACGAAGTGAAGTGTCCGAACGTCATAGGGCGGGAAGCTGGGTGTGGGTGGTGGCGAAGAGTCGTTTGGAAATTTGGTAGAGCTTGAACCGGCCCCCCCACAAAGTGGGGGTATTGCCCGCCTCCTATGAAAACCCTGGCACTGGTGAGAACGGAGTGTCCCCACGTGCTAGTAATTGTTGTTGTTGTTGTTGTTGTTGTTGTTGTTGTTGTTGTTGTTGTTGTTGTTGTTGTTGTTGTTGTTGTTGTTGAACATTATTACTTCTAAAGAATAATTATTGTTGGGGCCCCTGGTGCACGGCCCCCTCGCCGCGCCTAGGCCGCAGCCATGTTTTCATCATTTTCGTGAGGAAGTCAGGCAAAACGGGTTGGTCCGGATCCGGTTGTTTTGTTCCCCCCCCGCTTTCCCTTGCAAAAAACAATATAAAATGACATTTCTTGTTCTAACATAACCAAACTTCAAGAATCCCTTGCAAAAAATAAGGTAAAGTGGACATTCGCGCGCGCAAGACGAAATCCTTCCAAAACCTTAGTGTTCGTAGCGATTTTAACATAAAAACATCAAAAAACCAATGGTTTTTCAAAAAAAAATGTCAAAATGTCATCCCGCGCGCTCTTGCGGATTCGTAGGAAACCCAACACTTTTTAAACATTTCTGTCAAACGGGCTTTTGCGAGCAACTTCACGTGCTTCGAACTTCTCCAACAACGGTTGCGCACCTGCCAGGGCCATCATCCCTGTCAAATAATACCATGCGGGACACATTCGTTTTTTCTTCGCGCGCGCACGCGGAAATCTTCAAAAACCATTGGGTTTCTTAGGAATTTAGCACCGCGCAACATAAATTCGTACGAATCGCACCGTAGGTCCTCGAAAAACATCTGTACGAATTTTCAAAATTTCTACCCGCGCGCGCTGTCCGAATCCTAAAAAACCAATGGTTTTTCACGTTACCACCAAAAACCAGTACAGGTGTCCAGTGTTGGAACAGGGGGAAAAGTCGTATACTAAGCTAGCGTCCAGAAAATGTTACCACAACAAGTCACTGTACCCATGCGCCAGTGTAGTAGCCACGGTCGTCCGCAGGCCACGAAGTGAAGTGTCCGAACGTCATAGGGCGGGAAGCTGGGTGTGGGTGGTGGCGAAGAGTCGTTTGGAAATGTGGTAGAGCTTGAACCGGCCCCCCCACAAAGTGGGGGTATTGGCGGGCGTCGTATGAAAACCCTGGCACTGGTGAGAACGGAGTGTCCCCACGTGCTAGTAATTGTTGTTGTTGTTGTTGTTGTTGTTGTTGTTGTTGTTGTTGTTCTTGTTGTTGTTGTTGTTGTGTCCCCGCTGTCGCCCTTCGTCGCCTACTTCGTGTCCTTCGTGGCCCTGCTGTCGTTCTCTCTCGCTCTCCCTTTCGCTCGTCGTCGTCGTCGCCGTCGTCGTCGTCGTCTTCGCCGCCGTCGTCGTCGACGTCGTCGTCGTCGTGGTCGTCGTCGTGGTCGGTCCCCTGTCTGTCCCTCTTGGGGTCGGGTCGACAATCCGCGGCCGCCTCGCCGATCAGCGCTGCCGCTGGCCAGGCCGACGGTCCGCGGCCGCCCCGCCGCTTGCCGGGGCCCGCCCTCCAGGGAAGAAAGGTATACCCCCCAAAAGGGGTTCGCTCGAAAACGAAGAGGGCGGGTATCGAGGAATTGGGAAACACGCGTTATTGGACACTCGAGCAGATAAGGGTGAACATTCTTAAAACGATTGTTGTTGTTGCTGCTGTTGTTGTTGTCGTTGTTGCTCGCAAGGACGCTACTCGGGGCTGGTTGCTCGACCCCCCCCTTCCGAGCATCGCCACGAAGCCACGCAGGGGCCCTGCAGGTTCCCTCCCCCGAACAACGCCACGGGTCCTCGCCGAGCCCTTGCCGAGGCCCCGCAGGACCCCTGTGTTGCTCGGGGGGTCCCTTCGAGGCTGCTGCGAGGTTCCTCGGCGTTGCTCGGGAGGCCCTTGAAGGTCGTATGGGATCTGTATCGGATCCCATACAGGGCGTACGGGATCTGTATTGGTCTCATACTGGCAGTACGGGATCAGTGTGGGAGCCCATACAGGCCGTACGGGACTCGTGTGGGACCCCATAAGAGGGCGCATGGGATCTGTACCGGATCCCATGCAAGCGTATTGGATCTGTATCGGATCCTTTACAGGGCGTGCGGGATCTGTGTGGGATTACATACATGGCGTGTGGGACGTCTGTTGGGTCCCATACAGGCCGTATGGGATTTGTATCGGATCCCATACAGGCCGTATTGGATTTGTGTGGGGACCCATGCGCAGGGCGTGCGGGTTCTGTATCGGGTCCCACACGGGCCGTATTGGATCTATGCGGCATCCCATACAGGCCGTTTGTGATCTGCTTGGGGTCCCATGCAGGCCGTATTGGATCTGTGTGGGATCCCATACAGGTCGTACGGGATCTGTGTGGGATCCCATGCAGGCCGCATGGGACCTGTGTGGGATTCCGTGCAGGACGTATGGGATCTGTGTGGAATCCCATATTGGCCCTTTGGGACTTGTACCGGATCCCATACAGGCAGTATGGGATATGTATTGGAGCGCGTATTGGCCGTATCGGAAGTGGATTGTATCCCATACAGGCCGTATGGGATCAGTATCGGAACCCGTGCAGGCCGTATGGGATCTGTATCGGCAGATTGTATAGGATCTGTATCGGATCCCCCATACTCAGTGTGAGATCTGTGTGGGGCCCAGTCCTGCAGTCTCCCCTCCCCCTACCTTTCCCTGTCCCCTCCCCACCCGCCTCCGCGCCTTCCCTCCGACTTGTCTGGCGCTCTGCGACGTCTCTCAGTCCTCTGACCCTTCTGCTTGTCAAGGTGAGAGATTTCTGCGCCTTCGATGAGGCCATGCAGAACGTCCACCAGAAGGTAGGGGTCTTCATGCGAGGTCACCGCCGCTTTTTTCCCCAATTCCGCAGGCGACGTCGGTTAAGTGTGGTGGTGCTTATAAGAACGACGTCCTGGTTGATACAAGCGGCTGTGATTGGCATTCGCAGGGTGGCATTGATGATAGGTGATTGCGTACGATGCTCAACACGTTTGCATGCTGCCAGAGGGAATGTGGTAAAGGGGGGGAGGATGAGCAGAATATGGAGAAGTTGGCACGCATGATCGGCCGCCATGGAGCAGCGCGGGCCGTCGTCGCCATATCGGTTTCATTCCTGCCGGAATCGTGTCTGCTCTCGCTGGCGGAAGAGGAGGGGGCCGATGCGCCTGGCAGGTGTCGAGCAGCTCGCGAACGGCGGGGAGGGGCCTCCCGCGCCGCCACTGGCACGGGCTTTGCTGTCCAGCCTGCCATGCCGCTCCATTAGCATCCTCCGTACACTGTGCCTGTCCGTAGCTGGCACGAAGGCTGGTGGGGATACTTTTTCCGTCGCGGCCGCAAGCGGAAGCGCAGTCGGCGTCCGAAGTCAGCCCAGCCAACCAACGTCTGTCGTAAGGAGTCCCAGTGAACTTGGGATTTCTGTATAAGTTTGCAGGATGCCCCAAGGAATTCGCCGGGAGTCCTAAGATTTCTTTTGAAGTTCCCAAGGAAGCCCAGGGATTTCCCCTAAGAACTTAGCGTACCCAGGGGATTCCTAAAGGAGTCCCAAGTCAGAGCAATTTCGCAGGATGCAGACAGTCTTCAGGCAACGCGATAATCTCGTACCTTTCCTGGTTGGGATTAGTACCATTGGGTTGAGTCCCGCCCTGACATGGTTCCGATTCGTCCAGGTCGGATGGAGTCCATTGCACTTCTGGTTGACCCCCCCCCCTTCGCTGGCGCAAAGACGGGGAGGACGGGGCGGAAGGGAGGGGCGGATAAAAGCAGACCCCCTTGAAGGGGGGGAGGTGGGGAGGGCCTGTTGGGGTTAATTTTCGGGGCAACCGTGGGCGCTCTCTCTTTCAAGATGCTATCCAAAAGACGCCGATCACGGCGAGAAAGACGGCGACGACGACGCAATCATCAGCATCAGCAACCACCACGACCCAACGGCTCCGACTTTCAGCGCTACTTGAAGAAGCACCTCGCGAGCAACAGTCCACTAGGTTACCTGCAAGAAGCCTGCACACGCACCGAACGAGCACCCAGAGCAGCTAACGAAGACCAGCAGCGACAGCAAGAGCACGAGTCACTGCTTTAGCCAGCCACTCACAGCGCGTGAGGAGGATGAGGCCCCACGACTACCACAAACATTCCTGATCCAGCGCAGAAGCAGCACACACTGACAGGATCACCTGAAGAGCTCTCAGCAAGCGTATCTTACGACAGCACGGGACCATCAAGAGGAGTCAAAGGCAAGCGGCACTCAACGTTATCAGGATCAAGCTTCGCGACCTCAAATTATGTTTTTATCAAATCCAGCAAGTTGGAAGCAAGACCTTGTACAAGCCATGACGGTTGTGCACGGCAAGATGAGACAGGCCAGAAAGACAGACATGACAGGGATGGCAGACGTTTTTCCCTACCTAGGTTCTGCCTAGAAGGGTTCTTACTCGGTTGGCTTAAGGGGCCAGGCAGTGGAACCCGCCCTGGGCGGTTCCCCCGGTCCCCTGGGAGCGGTTCCCCCAGTTGCGCTCCCTGGGTGCCCAGCAAAAGCAAAAGCAAAGGCAAAAGTGAAGGCAACAGCGAAGGCAAAGCAAACACATAGCATAGCATAGCATAGCATAACATAGCATAGCATAGCATAACATAGCATAGCATAGCGCAGCATAGCATAGCGCAGCATAGCATAGCATAGCGCAGCAAAGCATAGCGCAGCATAGCATAGCCTAGCCTAGCCCAGCATTGCATTGCGCAGCATAGCATAGCATAGCATAGCACAGCAGAGCAGAGCAGAGCAGAGCAGAGCATAGCATAGCATAGCATAGCATAGCATAGCGCAGCACAGCATCCACGACGATGAGGAGAAGGAGGAGGACGGCGTTTACGGCTCCTACTAATGTTGCTTTCCTAGAGGCTCCAACTCCTAGGTGGCGTCGCACTGGGATAATTGTTGATTGTTACGAATTAATAGACTGGCGCTCCACCAACACCGACAGGCCCACGAACGACCAGGCGAATCCACCAAGCCATCCTACCTGTCGCCACCGTCGAAGTAAACCAAGCAGTGAAACATTGCAAAAACGGCAAATGCAGAGACACAGCTGGCCTCACTGCAGAGATTTTGAGAGCAGGAAGGGAGACGATCGTGCAGATACGGTGGACAGCGGCAGCGCTGGAACGACGACATCGCGCAGTTCATACATTACAATACCGCCGGGGATAGTACAGCTAATTGGGCGGAACTTGCCGCAGACACTGTATTCTGGCACTCGCTGGAGAGGGATTTCGCTGCCTACCCCAATGTCTAGCTACAGTCGGGCCCCGGCCTGCCGGCGCTGGCCCCCCGGGCTCCGCCGGCCGCCGGCCGGCGGACGCGCGCGCCTCGCCTCGTCTCGCCTCCAACGAGGCCCCAGATAGTCCGATGCTCGTTTTGGGGACCTTCCTGGGGCCCACCCAATGGATCTGTTCGACTCAAGTTCGACTCAGGTTCGACTCAGGTTCGACTCAGGTTCGACTCAGGATCGACGCAGGTTCGACTCAGGTTCGACTCAGGTTCGACTCAGGTTCGACGCACGAGTGGAGCGAGTAGCTCCAGGAAGGTCCCCAGAATGGGCATCTAAAGATAGTCAGGGCCCGAAAAAGCTCCCGTGAGGCCCCGGAAAGGCGACGCGACAACCGTGCAGCTGTACGGCCGCGCCGAGCTGTAGCATTATGATGCAGTTTTTAAGGCGACCCGAGGATGGTTCTACAACGCCTTCTCGGGAGAACTCGGGGGAACCATCACGCCCGAGACGGCTCAAACATTTGTCTTAAGTTTGGGTGGGCCTCATAGAACCTTGACCCTGCGGAGACCCCGCGGGTAGAACCCCAGAACCATGGCGCATACGTTTCGGTGCTGTGCTGGAGCGGCGGTGAGGTTTGCACCAGCAGCTGGGTATGTGTAGAGTGAGATGTCTTGAGCGTTGAACGCGAGGGGTATACGGGGGGTATAACGAGAAAGGGCGCGTCATGGGATGTGGGGAACTCTTGACGCTTCGCGTATCCCCACCTGATCATCCCGCCCTCTGGACTTTTCCTTGCGGGCCGCAAATAAAAAAAAATATCCCCACCAGCGCCCGGCTTCCTGGTGCTGGCGCAACGTCGCCACGTGCGGCTGACTCTCGACTGGTGCTCCGCATCTCTTAGGCTTATTGCCTCCGTCTGCCCGTTTTCCCCAATTTGTTCTGCATGTTGCACGTGCGGTCGGCTGTCGACAGTGACAGCTGGGCTCGCAAATTATCTGGCTTTGTGCCCCAGCCAGCCCGATTGACACGCCCTCTGGACTCTTCCTTGCGGGCCGCAGATCAACAAAAATATTCCCACCAGTTTCCGTCCCGGACACGCCTGTTGCCGCCAGACCGTTGTCGCGCGGCCGCCGACCAAAAAAAAAAACCCATCAGTTATCCGCTGCCTTGCAGGACTGGTGGAAGAAATTGAGAAAAAAACAATACACGGGCCTCTCCAGGCCTCCTACTGACGGCTGCCGTGCGGAGGAGCGAACCGACACGGCCGGTGGGTGCCTTGGCTGCGTGGCTGCGCGAGTATGGGTGGGACGGGCGAGACCTTACCCCCGAAGCAGCCGCCGAGTGGCTCAGGAGGTGGGACGCAGAGACAACTCAGAGGAAGGCAGCCAGGCTGACACCTGCCCAGAGGGTCCAGGCGCGGAGCGTGCCCCCCTGGCCGCCCACCACAGAACCGGAAGGGGAATCTACAGGAAGACCCGCGCCATCCTGGGAGTCCGCGACACCTCAGGCTCTTGGCATGACAGACCCGAACAGGTCCACCGCCTCCTGTGGGACAGTCGCAGTAAGATTTGGCACGCGGCGCGCCCCCCTACCAGGCTCCACCTCGCGCCTCCTCGACCTTCACTTCCACCAGCACCCCGGCATAGTGGTCCCCAGCAGGCCGCGGCCCAGGTGGAGCAGACTGGCCTCCATCGTCCTCGCCCCCAGCGGAAGCGCCCCTGGGGTGGATGGGGAACCCTACGAAGCCTACCACCATGGGGCCAGGTTCGTCGCCTGCTTCTTAGCGCAAGCCTGGCACGCTGCGGAGCTCAATCCCGCCCTCATGGATGCCGTGCTTGGCCCGTCAGTTGATCTACTGGTGTGGATTCGCAAAACGACATGAGGCCGGAGCAGAGAACCCCAACGACATGAGGCCCCTCCAGCTGCCGACATGCCTCCGACGGCTGTATGGGGCCTCCCTGGCCGATCTGATGGGCTCGGCAGTGGAACCCCTCTTGAGCCTGAGTCAGGCTGCCAAAAGAGGAGGGCAATGCGGGCCCAACATCACCAAGGTCACCCGTCACCTGTGGTCAGCCCCCAAGCCCCCCGCAGAGCCGGGTCCTTCCTGGCAGGCACTATTTGGCAGGCACGCAGACGCCGTTGGAATATTTATTGAAATGGCAGCTTCCCGGGTCGGGGAGGCCCCGAGCACAGCCGTGATCTTCTGCGATCAGAACAAGGCCTTCGAGAGGATCCCTGCAGTGGACGGGGGGCCTCCTTCGCAAATGGAGGCTGCCCCCTGGCTCTTGCGCGCACTGAACTCACTCATCGGAGGACGTAGAGTGCAAACCTGCAAAGGACAGTACAAGGGGCCCGAGCGGCGCCCCCCCCGATCTGTTGGAATGGGAGGCGCGGTTTCCCCGCTCCTGTGGTGCATGGGATACGACCCCTTCATTTCCGCCCTCTCGAGCGTCACCGCCGACGACGATCCCACATACGTCGATGACCTAGCTGCGTTGCTCAGCACCACGAAGCAGACGCTGCGCGCCGCCATAGCCCTTCCCTGGGCTGCGCGCGCTGCCGGGCTCCTGGTGGAGGCACATCGACGTAGAGGGATCAGGGCTGCCGACTCAGAGGTCCTCAGGGCAGCTCCTGAGGAGGCCCCAGTACACTACGAGCAAGACGGGGACTTCGTCCTGATCACCGGGCTTCCAGGCGAGCTGATCCTGGCCCTCCTCGAGGGACGCGTGGAGCGACGTTCCATCGACTTATGCGCCCCCTTCAAGACTGCCCTCGTGCCCGCAGGACGACGCGAGTGGTGGCGTAACTTCATGGAATACACCCCCTTCGGGAGCTCCTCAGTGCGGGATCAGTGGCCATGCCGCTGCGCCGTGGTGGTCTCGCGTGCGGCGGAAGGTGAACGGCCCCCCCCTGGGGGGCGGCTCATGAAGG